CAGAGGCATGTCTTGGTCTTTTTTTTTAAAAAAAAAAAAAAACTGTTGCTTTGTCTCTCCATTACTTCTTGTTATCTTTTTCAGTACTGGTGATAGAACCAGAGCCTTCACACTGACCTCCATCCCCAGCCTTTTTTTTATTTTCTATTTTGAGACAGGGTCTCCCTACATTGCTAAGATGTGTAGAACTTGTGATCCTCCTGCCCCAGCCTCCTGCCCCAATGCCAGGATCACCCTGCATGTTTGTTGGGTTCCATTCTTTCTTTGTTGCTACTTTCTTTGGGTTATTCTATTATTTTTTTTCTAGTTCTTGCATTGGACACTCACCTTAAGAACTTTTAATCTTTTTCTAGTACAATACTAACATTATAATATTAACAAGATATTTTAACATATTTCTTTCCAGGATATAAATTTCTCACTAATCCTTACTCTAGCAGAATTCCACAAATTTCTCACATAATGTTTTTACTTCCTTTATCCTTCACTTCCAATCTGTTTTTTCCTTCTCTTTTTTTTTTTTTGTGGGGGGGGCGGTGTTGAACCTGGAGCACCATATGTGCTAAGCAAGTGCTCTACCACGAGCTACTCCCTCAGCTGTAACTCCCAAATATTTTGTGATTTCCCTTGTGGTTTCTTCTTTCCCCTATGAATTCTTAAAACACACTCCTACATGTAGTGGGGTTGTTTGGGCTATCTCTGGACTTCTAATTTCATTAAAATAAGAGGTTACAGTGAAGATGCTCACTAGGGCTGGGGATGTAGCTCAGTGGTGCAGCACCTGCCTGGCAAGCACAAGGTCGTGAGTTCGATTCCTGGTACCAAAAAAAAAAAAAAAAAGATACTAGCTAGTCTCTGATATTTGTTAAAATGTTTAATCTCATCTCATCAGGTTAGAAGTTATGCATTTTGTTTCTTATACCTTTAGCTTTTGTTTTTGTTTTTTGTTTTTTGGTCTTTTTGAGACAGGGTCTTGCTATGCAGTTCAGGCTGGCCTTGAGCTCACTTTGTAGACCAGGCTAGTCTCGAATTCGAAATGATCCTCTTGTCTCAGCCTCCCGAGTGCTGGATTACAGGCGTGCGCCACCACATCTGGCTCATAACTGATTTATTTATTTATTTATTTATTTATTTATTTATTTTTGGTACCAGGAATCAAACTCAGGACCTTGCGCTTGCCAGGCAGGCACTTGTGCTGCTGAGCTACATCCCCCGGTTTGCATTTTGTTTCTTATACCTTTATTCTTTAATTTTTAACATCTGAAACTGTTCTAATAAAGGCCAAATATAAAACATGAACTCTTTCCCACAGATAGATCCAGTTTGGGAGCTCTCTTTAAGAAAAAGAGTACAGGGGCTGGGGATTTAGCTCAGCGGCAAAAGCGCCTGCCTGGCAAACGCAAAGTCATGAGTTCAGTTCCCGGTACCTGAGAAAAACCAAAAAAAAAAAAAAAAAGAAAAAGAAAAAGAGTACAAAACAAGAAAAGAAAGAAAAGAAAAGAAAAAGAATACAACTGCAATCCTAGCACTGGGGAGATTGTGGTCAGAGGGTCATGACTTCAAGGCCAGCCCAGGCTACATACCAGGCTGAGCCATAAAGCAGAACCCTATCTCAAAAAACTAAAGAATAAAGAAGAAAACAAGAAGGGCTGGGGATTTAGCTCAGTGGCACAGTGCCTGCCTGGCAAGCATGAGGTCCTGAGTTCAATTCCTGGTATGCACTCCCCAAAAAAAGAAAGAAAAAAGGGCACAGAAACTACTCCTGTAACTGATACTCTTGTAGCTTCATGGTAAGCTCATTTTCTGCTCTAAAATAACAAAAGAATCTTGAATGCTTCACTCCAAAAGCCTCACCCCGTCTTCCCAATTATTATTACCTAGTATTTTATTCTTTTCTTTTTCAAACCCTCCACAATTACCTATCACTGTGGTTGTTTTAGATACAAAGCTCATTTAGATTTCCCCAACATGTTTTCCCCTTCGTTGTTGCCTCTTCCATTCAGAGCTGAACTTCCCTCCTTCTCGGCTGGGGCAGTGAAAATCTCTCACGGCCTTCTTTGTCCGAATGTCTTGCTTTTGTACTCATTCTTGAAAAACGTGTGGTTTCATAGAGAATTTGAGGGTGATGATTATTTTCCTTCCGCACTCTAAAGGTACTGTTCTGGCCTCTTGATGATGATAAGTCTGTTTACTTATGATGTTTGTAGGTAATTTTCTTTGTTGTGTGGTTTCTTTTGGGATTTTCTCATTGCCTTTGGTGTCATTTCCCTACAGTGTGTAAAAGTGACTTTGTTTTCTTTGCTCAGAAATCGCTATGCCTCCTCAGCATGAGGAGTCGTGTGCCCACGGGCTCTGGAAAACTTCCTGTCAGCTCTGCAAACTGCTTCTTTCCTGTTCTCCGTTATCTTCTGTGAAATTAATATTAGTGAGTTCAACCTGTTTATCACATCATCTGAGCATCCTGAACTCTTTTCTCTCATTTCCTTTTTTTGTTTGTTTTTTTTTCTGGTACCAGGAATCGAACTCATGACCTTGCGCTTGCCAGGCAGGTGCTGTGCCACTGAGCTAAATCCCCAGCCCCTCATTTCCTTTTATTTTTCCTTCTTTCTTCTAGGGGGTCTCAGTATGTTACCCAAGATGGCCTCAAGCTCCTGGATTCAGGTGATCCCCTTCCCTCAGCCTCTTGACCACTTTGGACTACAAGCACGTGCCAAGGTGCCTAAGCTTCTTTTCTTTTCACCCTTAAAACCTTCTGTGCTGTCTTGGTATAGTGGCACACGCCTGTAATCCCAGTGTCTTCAGAGGCTGAGGCAGGTGGATCTCAAGTTCAAGGCCAGCCTAGGCAACTTAATGAAACCTTGTCTCAGAATAAAATGAAAAGGGCAGTACCACAAATTAATTAGTTAGTCTCTATGTTGAGGGGGCTGGGGATTTAGCTCAGTGGCAAAGCGCCTGCCTGGCAAGCGCAAGGTCGTGAGTTCGGTTCCCGGTACCGGAGAAAAAAACAAAAAAAAAAACAAAAACAAAAAAACCCTCTATGTTCAATTTGTGTATTTATCCAAAGTGCAGTTAGAACTACAACAGAAAGTTCTCTGGGAGGTGATTGCGTGTGTGTGTGTGTGTGTGTGTGTGTGTGTGTGTGTTTCAGTAAAACTAAAGTTTACTTAGCAGCAGTCCATCCCCTCTGGGAGCCCCAGCAAAACTCCCACCCACACGGTCACCTACCAGGTTTGACTGTGCTTTCAGAGGAAAGTAAAGATGAAGGTTAAAGGAATCAGAAGCATAAAATGACTTACAGTAACAGGCTGTCACGTTAGAACTTCAAAGTGTCACCAGAACTTACCAGAGAAAGGGAAATTTTGTAGTGTTCTCAGTCTTATGGTGAAACACCGAGGGCTCCGCTTCACAGACGACAGCTCAAGCCCCGTAAACACACCCAGGAACACACCGTGCAGCCCCCCAGCCCCCAGTAGTTAGTTCAGAGTGGCAGGGTGGAGTGGACAGGGTGACCCCGGGGGGGAAGGGTCTCCCACAGCCCGCGATCGCCACGTGTGAGGACGGAAGCTGAACGCTGGGCAATTTCGACCCCACCACCCTGAGCAGCATGGCACAGGGTGAACCAAACAGACCCAGGGCGCCCAGTACTGGGTTCCGCGTCTCTGCGGCTTCTCACACAGTCTCCGCCTGTCTCCCCATTCGAGGGTTTGGACTGGGTTTGGGGTGGCTCAGGTGGAGACGGGGCAGGAAAGCCAGGAGTGCCGAGCTCCCAGCCCTGCAGCTATGGCCCCAGCTGGCACGTGGCAGAGCCCGGGCGAGCATGCGCAGAAGACTCCTCTGCGCTGCCTCCCGCGCATGCTCCCCGACGGGAAAGTGCTTCACGGTCTCAGAACTGCGAGGTGTGTGCACGTGTGTGT